GGAAGTAGCAGTTACCGATTATAAGTCTTTGCTCGATTGGTATAGAGCATGATACCAGGGGCTACTTCTGACAGAGGGAGAGGGCATTGGACCTCACTAGGTAGCTACTGCCTGCCTTAAGCTGGGTAACCCTCAGCCAGTAAGGTGCTACATCGCCACAGTCTGTTAACTTCACGGGATATGTGGGGTTTATGGTGAAAGCTGACAAGCAGATTGATAACCATGCACCATGCAACAATCATAAGAAAATTTCTGCCCTAAAGTTGGGCAACTGGAATGTTCGGACAATGACCCCTGGCTTTTCTGACAACCTGCAGAAAATAGACGATGTGCGCAAGACAACTGTCATCAACATGGAACTGAGTAGGCTGCAGATGGATATTGTTGACCTGCAAGAGACGAGATTGCCAGACACGGGATCTGTCAAAGGAAAAAAAAACTTCTCATTTTTCTGGCAGGGAAAACCACTGAATGAGGTGTTGGTTTTGCATTCAGAAATACTCTGCTGAGATCCATTGTTAACTCTGCTGGGATCCATTGTTCCACTTACTGTGGGGATTGAAAGAATCCTGTCTCTACAGCTCCGGTTTCGACCATTTCGAGTTGCGACCAGCTAAGGCTGCAAAATTTTGCTTAGATTTGTGGTAGCCACAAGGGCCAGCGATTACTGCATACAAAAGACCAGCTAACGACACCCATCAATCACAGTGACAGATCATCTCTCCCCTTTATCACAACAATACATCCACAACAAAAACACGCTGATCACCATAATCACCCAATCTCCTGAAAAGGACAAAAGCTGTTCCCACAGCTATAAATACTCAACTATCAAACAAACCGCAACAGAGCACAGACAGTGTTCTGACTCCTGTCCTCTGAAGATGCCAGCCACAGAGACTGGTAAAACGTTAGGAAGAACAACCTTCAGAACAAGGCCAAAGAGCCCGAAAAACCCACAGCAACCAACTCATGAAACGCTTTTTAGCAAGGCCAGCCAAAACTTTGGATTAACAATCAGCCTGAGGAAAACACAAGTCATGGGTCAGGGCGTGGACTCACCTCCCTCTATTACCATCTCCGCACAAGAATCGGAGGTTGTTCATGACTTTGTGTACCTTGGCTCAACGATCTGACAGCCTCTCTCTAGCTGGATAAATGCATTGGCAAAGCAGCTACCATGTTCTCTAGACTCACAAAGAGAGTATGGCTTAATAAGAAGCTGATGGGATATATCAAGATCCACATCTATAGAGCCTATATCCTGAGTAAACTCTTGTACTGCAGTGAGTCCTGGACCCTTTGTGCATGGCAGGAGAGGAAGCTGAGCTTGTTCCATATGTGTTGTGTCCAGCACATTTTTGGTATCACCTGGCAGGACAAAGTTCCAAATAGAGTAGTCCTAGAACGAGCTGGAATTTTTAGCATGTATACATTACTGAAACAGCGACATCTACATTGGCTCGGGCATGCTGTGAGAATGGCTGACGGTTGGATTCCAAAAGATCTCCTGTATGGAGAATTGGTGTAGGGAAATTGCTCCAGAGGGAGATCACAGCTGCGATACAAGGACATCTGCAAGTGGTATCTAAAGCCCTTAGGAATGGACCTCCACAGATGAGAAACTTGATATCTGAGCATTCAGCCTGGAGGCAGGTGGTGCATCATGGCCTCTCCCAATTTGAAGAGACCCTTGTCCAGCAGGCGGAGGCAAAGAGGAAGTCACAAAAGCAGCAAAATCAGGGAGCTGGACAGGGGACAGATTGGATTTGTCTTCAGTGTGGAAGGGATTGTCATTCTCGAATTGGCCTCCTCAGTCACACTAGATGCTGTTCCAAGTCCACAATACAGAGCACATTACCATAGTCCCTCGAGACTGAAGAATGCCTAATCCACATATCTGATTTTATATTTTTCTGCTTTATGTTTCCTCTTCTGTGCTGTGGAAGAAAGTGCCAAGAGGTTTTATGCCAAAGAAAATATTCATAAACATGTTTGACTAAAAACCTGAGATAAGACACCTGAAAACAGGCAGATAAGAATGTTTGACAGGGTGGTTATAAGCATTACAGACTTCTGTGGTTTGGAGGATGGGGCAGATTTGGACTGCTAGTTACAGAGATCGTGACCTGTGCCTCACTTTTGGCTGGTCACATCTTACTTCCATGACATCTAGAGATTCTACACATATTCAAAGAAGAATAATGGAACCGGCTAGTTTTCATGCTGATTTTCTTTACTACCTTGTGTATCAGTAACAGCAGCAAAAACAACCGTGTTCTGTCAAGTCAATTCCAACTTATGGCAATCTTTTCCAGGGTTTTTAGGCAGAGAATACCAGAAGTTGTTTATCATTCCCATGGTGCCCCATGGGACTGTGCAGCTTTACCCTAGGCTGCGCAGGCTGGCTATTCTCCCAGAAAGCACAGTGGGGCAATGAACTCCTAACCTCTTGCTCTGCAGCTAGGTTCATAAACCACTATGCTACCCAGTGGTTTATGAAACTATTTTATGAATACCATTTCCCCGAAAATAAGACCTAACCTGAAAAGATGCCCTAGTATGATTTTTCAAGGTGCTTGTAATATAAACCCTACCCTAAAAATATGCCCCAGTTAAGTGAAACCCTGCCCTCCACCATTGTGCAGCAACCAGAAGATGACATGCCTGTAAAATAAAACATCCCTTGAAAATAAGCCCTAATGCGTTTTTTGGAGCAAAAATTAATATAAGACCCTGTCTTATTTTTGGGGAAGCACGGTAGATGAAAGTTGTATTTGTTTCAATCCTGTTGCTTAGCATATTAAGTCACAACTGGAGTTGGCCCTTTGAATTAGTAGAACTTAGGATGTGACTAAACAGCTGGAAAAATGCCAATTGATCCACTGTGAAGTTGCACCAGGAAGTTGTGTTTCCCCAGATTAATTTGCTTCAGCTGATCTCACAGGAGTCAGCAGAGAGAGGGGAGGAAATCAGCCTTGTTTGCAGCTTGTTGACTATTTCAATCTTCTCTTCCCCACAACTGATGCCAGAGTCTACTGGCTGCCCTCTTCCCTTCCAGTTACTTTTCTCCCCCCTAAAGGCTTGCTGTCCTTGCACAAATAGATGACCAAAGAGTTCTTTTAAAGTAAAGGAATCAGCAGATAGACAAGAGGAAGTTTTTATTTCAGCAATGTTTCCAGCTTCTTATGGTATTTCTGTTTTGTTCTAATCCCCTAGATTAGCAGAGGTATGGTTATTTTAAGACCGTCTCTTCATTATTTTTTCCCTTTTATCACCTAGCTGCCCTAGCACTAGATTAGCAATTCTTTTAAGTTTTTTTAAAAAAAGGGACAGAATGGCAAGGCAAAATGAAAACAGACACAGACACCAGGTGTAGAGGGAGAGGATTCAAATGGCAGCCAGTTTCCTTGCGCCCTGCCTCTCTCACTGCTGCAGTAGTTGGCAGGGAAGATTTTAATTATAATGGCTGCCAACTTTCCCAAGTCAGCTAAAGCGATCACATTGTCTAAACCAATATGAAGATGAAAAACTACAGATAGAGTGGTTGAAACTCTGGGCTGATTCAAACTTTTTGTCATACAGACAATGGAAAAAAATGTGAATCAGACAGTGCCACTCTCAGCATATTATTTGTCAATGTAGTCACACCCATACAGAGGACTTGACTCACCAAATCCCCATATTCAATGGGCCTACGTTAGTTGCAACTTCCTAAGCTAAGCAACAGGATTTCAACCTTACTGTGGCAAACTCTGGCCTCAAAATCGGAAGCTGATCCAGGAAGAAACAACTCTTGTTGAAAGCAAGATTCTTTGTACTTCAGAGAGAGCCGTTATGTTAATCTGCAGACATCTGTTAATCACTGTAAGTAGTAATACCCAGTTGCTAGAATGTTTATGGAATCAACATGTTAAACCTGTATTAATAATGCTATTTTCATATTGAAAGTTCACTACCTGTGATCATCTCTATCTTAATTTCATCCCCACCATCACTTGGGAGGAGTATATATTGTAGATAAAATTTGTGGTCAGATATTGCCCTCCAAATGTCTGGAGAAGTGGAGTGTAAGCTGTGAAAACTCACACTAAAATAAATCTTTTGGCCTTAAGGGTGCCACAACACTTTTTTCTGGTGATACATATAAGCACATATAGCCATGCACTGATGTTCAGTTTCAAAAGCAATGTTACTTTAATGCATCTTATTAGCATAACCAGAAGGGCTCAAAAATGTGTGCTTTTGACATCTTCAGGGCTCTTTGTTAGGCACAAGTTGTGTGTATAGGGGAGAAATGACAATGTTGAAGTCGTGGCAGTTGCACGGTCTCCGCCTTGGGGTGAAGGAGGAGTGAGAAGCAACCTTCAAATACTCAACTGGCGTTCTAATAAGTTATTTGATGGTTTTTTCACCCTCAAAATGTTGACAAGAAAAGCAACGGGTGTCATTCTGTTTTTGAAAATAAGAACAACCAGCTGTAAATTCAGAATTTTTCTAACTCCCTGGATGAAGAACAGCAGTTCCCTCACTAATGGAAAATAGAAATTAAGCAGATATTGAGCAACATGACTAACATTGATTCCGGTACAAACTCAGACCAAATGCAGGTGACTGTACACTTATTTTATTCTGTGAACTTCATTCTTTGAGGATTCAGAGTGGAAGCTGGAACTTTGCTTTCACAAACTTTCCTTCCTTCCTAGCATTACATCAGGGCTAATCTGGATTTTATTAAACTGCCCCCCAATTAGTGCAGCATCCAAAATGATCTCCTGTAAGATGTGTACTGCTCCTGATAGGAGAAGACAGTCATGATCATGTTTGTGCTTAGCCACAAGGAGCCTGTCACTTGGGATGAGAACACTGAACTAGATAGAACTCTGGTCTGAAGAAAGGCAGCAACATTCATTTTCTTTTTTCTTTTTGACCACTGTCTGACTTTACATAAAACACTAACAAAGTGGCTAGTTGAGAATTTAAAAAAAAAATACACAGGCTGTTTGAAAAGGACCAGTTTATTTCATTGTGGAAAATAAGTTTTTGCATCTTTAAACTTTTTTTCACCAATTGAGTTCTGGACATAAAAACATCTCTCCATCAAACAATGTAATTAAGTGACAACAATTTTTCACAATCATATTTGCAGTTCTTATTTCAAAACAGACAGTTTCATGAGTGGAAGGACTTTGGGGGGAGAAAGGGGTGGGTGTGTAGACCGCAGTTTCTTGCTAACTAACTCACATCTTCATTCCTGCCCCCATGGACCTCAGCTAGTCTCCTCCTTCCATGCCTTTGCTTTAATCACTGTCTGGAATGGAAAGGGAAGGAAGAGCCCCATGAGCTAGGACAAGACACAAGCACAGACAACATGCCACAGGATTGAGTTTGGGCAAGAGGTGGTGGATATAGTTTTATGGAACTACGGTGTCCAAAACCAAGGCTGGAGACAGGAAGGGTAGAAGAAGTCCTCAAGGCAGACTCTTTCTGCAAAAAAGTAAGGTTAGATTTTTTTTTAAAAAAAGTGTCCATCCCGTGACAGTAGGAACAGGCAGGGAAGTAGTGAAAGCTTCAGAGACCTACAGTTAGGTGACATCAACTCCAAAACAAGAGGAAGAAGAGCAGAGGACCTGGCAAATACTAAGCAATTGTGGAAGAACAAAAGGTGGATGCTTCACCACCTCCATCCTAACCACCTGTGGCAGAAGCGCTGGTCCTTTGCGTCTAGGTTCCTGAGAACAGAAAAGGAAAAGTCGGTAGGGACAGAATACAACCCCCTAGTTTCCGCCTTTCAAAACTCATTACCTATCTACTACTAGAAAGAGGAGCACATCTTTGAAGCTGCTCCTTCCCCTGTGCCTGAGATCAGCTTGAGTCAAGGAAAGCATAGCTCAAAAGTCAAAACAATTTTGGAGTTGCTTTCTGCTTGATGCCACAATGTCCAACCCAGAATCAGGCACCTTTGAAAAGCAGGGGTGGAGGACCATCTGAGTGTGCCGTCCCCTTCCCCACAAATCCATTCACTGTTGCCAAGATTCTTCTCCCTACCTCCTATGGGCTGAAGAGATCACATCTTCTTGTACATTCAAGGAGACGGTGGGAGAGAAGAAAGGTACCATGACAAGAGGGTCTCTGCTTCCAAGGAATAGGTCCCCATGTATATTAAAGCAAATTTCTGTCCAATCTTCTTCCCTTTCTCAATGGAACCCCTTTCAAGAACCCCTACAAATACCTGTCCCTTCATAGTGGTCCCCCCTCAGGGAATCAAAGATAGATCCTCTATTGGAAAAAGTGGCAAAACCCCCTCAAAATTGGGGGACCTCAGCAGGAAAGCCCTCCTCCTTCCAAAGCTCTGCAACAATACTGCGTTTCCCAGAACTGTTACCAGAAAACAAAATTAAGTACTGTAGATACATCAGGCCATTCAGCTTAGTTCCCCAAGGCACCATCTTGTGTCCTCCCATCTGCACAGATTAGGAGAACAGAGAGTATAGAAGGAAAGCCTCCCACCCCTATTTCACAGAACTGGAGGAAAATTCCTTAGAATTCCAAAGCAGAGACAATCTTTCTTCCTCCACTCACCCTGGAGAGAGTGTTTTGCCTTTTAAGAAAAGAAAAGAAAAGAAAAGAAAACGAAAGAACGAAAGAACGAAAGAACGAAAGAAAGAAAGAAAAAGAAAAAGGAGACACAAAAGTAATACAGCAATCAAAGAAAGAAAATACTACCCTTTGGTGTGGTCTGAAATTTTGGCCAAATAAGGTCTGAAGTTCCTTCTCCATGTCCACCTGGGTAAGATGGTCTTGGAGAAACTCTTCAGCACCTCCTAGAGGCAAAAATGGAGAAGAGGGATTCTGCACCATTGAATAAGGCTGGGCCCCTTTGCTGTGGACAGCCCCTTCCCCAACATGCTCTGCTGCCCAAGAATTCTCCACCTTACTTCTCCCACAGACATGGCAGTGTCCAGTTCAAACAGAGTAGCCAGTGTAACCAGTCAAAAGAAAATGCCACTGAGGGGCAACCAACTCAAAACATGAGATTGGGTTTAGGAAGGAAGTAGCCCCCACTCCAAGGAGGATTAAGGCAGCCTTGAGGTGATGAGACACGTCTCCTTGCTCCCCGGGAAAGAGGTCATGGCATCTATGACAGGCAATAATTAAGCCAGCCTTTGCGTAAATATGACATAGTTATTATACTGTGGTGGCAAAAGTATATACCCAGAGATAATACAGAGGTGGAGAAGCTCGGTAGCAGCTCACCTCAGACTAATGCTCTCTAGGTAGTAAATCCCACCACCCTGGCTGTGAAGGATGGGCAGAGAAATCCAAGACATTTGGCGGGCACCAGTTGGAAAAGGCCTGAGTCTCTTTTCATCTCAGACTGCAACAAAGCTTGGAAAGTCTGTGTGCTCCTCCACAGCAAGCTGAAGACCTCATCCTGATACATTAGATTTGTAGGAGACTTAAGGTAAGGCTTGCCCAACCGAGCTTCCTCCAGCTGTGCTGTCAACTATCGATTATCTGATGGAGTTTTGAGAACAATCCAGCTGACAAGAAGATGCTTTGGTTAATGCTAGCTGCAGAGATACAGAACCACAACCACTGCACCATGTAACCAATTTTTTTAAAAGGGTGAAAAGAAAATGCCCATCTCTCTCTCATACTTCATTTACGCAAAAATTAAGAGGCCCCAACATGGAGCTATAAAAAGGCAACGTGCTTCCCATGCTTCTCCTCACTAATCCACTTTATTTCTCAGGTAAAAGCAGGCAGAAACTCCACTCTCTCTTCCCCTCCTCTCCTCACCTGAGTGACAATCACATTACATTGATCAATGTGTACGTCCTATTGTTATCAATCCATCCAGCAGGGTTAATGAAATTAGGTATCCGAGACACTTAAGGAAAAACAAAAAAGGCCAATATGGTCAATAAAAATGGTCCTTCCAAAGATCCTTCCTGATCACCTCAGGGCTTCCCTGCTCTCTGGGCCTTAAAAAAAAAAAACCCAGGTGAAAACAGAACAGGTAGCCAGCAGGTGGGAAATGGCCCTTATTTTCTCCTTATAGTTTAAATCTGCCCAAACTGTGATCAGTCAGTCTGATGGAAGGCTATCAGCTATGTATGGTGGCCTGTCAGGAGCATGATACCTTTTTGCTTGCCTAAAAATGACTCACACAAAGAGGTGAGTTATTAAGCCCCTAGCAGACCAAGCTACGTGGATACTAAGATGCATCTGGCTCGTCAGATCACATGTTGAGCAGGCCTAGGATGACTCAACCAAGCTGGGAAGAAAAGCTGCTGCTTTGGTCTCCAAATGTGTACATTTGGAGGAGCCCCTGTAGATCCAATGAGTGGACAACCTCCCATGTCAAGAAGGAGAATAGGCACTGGAGATGGGGCAGAACTGAGACAGCTCAGAATGCTCTACCTTTCTCCCTCTCTTCGGGGCATCAGACCAACCCCGGCAAACCACCCCTCCGCCCCCAGTATTTTAAGTGCACAAAACACCCCTCATCTCTGGAATGCACTCGAATGCCACACAGGAAAATAAGAAACAAACAAACAAAGAGTTTTGTCCTCCCCCACCTACCCTACTCCAAGCACCCTTTTGTCCCGAGGGTCCAACATGCTTAAGGATCATCAGCTGCTAACTCCAGCTGGGGTCATATCCTGTCCAGTCTGAAGGAGGTGCTAAGTAAACGCGGCGTCCTCGATAAAGGAAGCTGACAATGCCCTGGTAACCCGCACGGGGCACTCCCGACTTGAGGTCGTCCATGACGCCCAAGGCTTTTGCAAAGGCCTTGAAGGAGTCCCGGGTGGTATACTGCACCCGGACGGTGCCCAGCTCCCGGCGCTGGTTTCCCTGCAGCTCTTCCACTCGCAGCTCAGGGGCACCGTAGACTTGGGCAAGGAATGAGCGCTCGTACTCATCCTTCTTGAGGTAAGAAAGGTCCATCTGGGTGAAAGGCACGAAGCGGTCGTTGAGCTTGATGAACTTCAGGTACTGGTCAAAGAACTGACCGTGGCTCACACCTTTACGCCCAAAAGTCATGGTACGGGACACCTCAGGCCTGATGCACGAACGGCCCCGCCGCTGCTCAGGCTGCCGCATCCAATCATCCCAGAAGGCCTTGGGCCACTTGGGCTCCAGCTCGTCCCAGAGGTCAGCGAGCAAAAGCCAGCCCAGCCCGGGGAAAAAGTCCGTACGGTAAAGTAGCTCCGGATGGGCCGCATCGACCATCTGTTCCTTGCCATTGTCATTCCAGGCAGAGATACACCAAAGATTCGGGTCCGTTAGCAGGAGAGGAAAAGTGGCCTGGAAGTATTCAAAAAAATCTGGAGCGACCTCCAGGTCATCCTCCACTACAATGGCGGCTTGGTACTTGAAGGTCCGAAAGACCTGGCTCAAGGCCCAGCGGTAATGTCGAGCAATCTTGTAATAGCCCTGGAATTTGCGGTGGTCAGTGGGCACAGGGATATCACTGAGGTTTGGCTGCTTGATGTGCATGATTGCATCTCCATAGGAGGCGATGACCCTGGCTGTCTCCTCATGCCCACAGTCCTGGCTCACAATGATAGGAAACCGTTCCTTGGAAGGACGGTAATGTAACAGCTTGTCTAGACAACGACGGACTGTGCTACGGTCACAGGCAATCACAATCACCGGCAGAATGGCATCGGGGGAGATCTGACTGCGACGTGACAAAGGTGCAATAGTGGAAGGCTGGGTGGATGCTGCAGCGGCGGAGAGGCGGAGCCTCTGGGCCTCATTCGCCTTTCTCCTGCTCCAAAGGGCACTGTAACGGTAGATCTGGTGCAAGAGGTCCTTCTGGCGCTCCAGTTCCACCTCTGCGTCCTGGGCCAGACGAATTACCTCTTCGGTGAGGCGAGTATGGTCAGAAAAGGACTGAGGCCGAGTCCACAGGAAGAAGAGGATTAGGGCGTGCCAAGCCACAAAAAGCACCACGCCCCAGAGAATCAGGCTGCTTTTCTTCAGCATCCTTCACAGGCACAGGCCCCCACCTTGTCTTCTTCTGCTCTCTCCTTCAATGGGCATCAGGCAATCACCAAGAACCTGGAAAATGAGCAGGGAAATACTGTTAAGGGAGATCATGTGTATGACACCCTATCTCATTTGTTCTTCCCTTTCTACCATCCAGATTTATTAAGAAAGGTTTACTCCAAATCCTACATTTCTTATAGCCTACTTTAGATACCAAGCAAGTGGGGCTTTACTACAGAACAGACAAAATCCTAGAAGAAAAGATGGTCTTGAACTGAATGGGAGAGAACAAAGAGGCCTACTGTCTCAAAGGTTTCCACTTATTATAACAAAGCCTCCAGAATGTATTTTATCTTGATTTATGACAAAAATTGGCCTGACCTCAACCTGGAAATCTATTACATCTTAGTTCATGCTTTGTGTAGGCACCACCAATCATTTAAGAAATGTGAAAGAAGGTTGGGGTAGGCTTAAGTCAGAAATGATATGACTATCCATAAAAACAATGAAAGAAGGTTAAAAAGAAGGAAATACTGTAAACAAAAAATAGCATATATAGCAGAAGATACATGTTTAACTCTTTCTTGGGCACCATTTTCATTTCCTATAACAGTCTTTTATTCTGAATACCTGTAAAAGAAATGCACAGCACTAGAATCAACCTTCAAAACCACAGGGTCAAATTAAATTGAGAGTTTACTGCTACTATTGCAGTTATTTTGTCTGCACCTGATACAGACAACATTACCATTCTGAGTTGGCATGGGGCAGGAAAGAGAGGTAGGCAAAGAAACATCCTGGCCAGACATTAGCTTTTAAAGTACATTGTTTGTTTTGTTTTAAGCAAACAAAAACACTTCATTCTTTTCAGAGGAGGGCTTAGAAACTTGAGGAGGATACCTTTTCCTCATTTCCAACAGGCCTCTCAAATGTGTGACCCTATCTGCACTAAACCTCAAAGAAGTCCTTCTTTATTGAGTAATGTACTTCAGAATATGGGCCGACAGGATCAAGGCTTTTGTTTAATGAGGTGAGGGGATAAATGGTGCACATGGCCTTGAAACCTCATGAGGTCCACATGTTTCTTTTCTCAAGAGAGCCCATGCTCAGTACAATTGTTTCTCTACAAAACCTCATGACCTCTAGAACAAAGGAACTTGAGATGTTCCATGCAAGACATGTTGACTCTATTCAGGCACTACAATGAGTGGAGAAAATGCATCTGTAGAGGGAAGCATTCTAGCTCAGTCCCCCCCCCCTCTTTGTCATCATTTGCATCACCCTGTTACACACAGACCATAAAGACTCTGAAGAGCCTCTAGTAGCCATAGGCGTTCTCCCTCTTCAGACCCACATGCCCTCCACGTGTAGCAGGACGATAAAGCCAGGGACAGAGGAGGTTCAAGCTAGAGTGCTCTTCCTCCAAGCATGAGCATTCATGACACCTGAATAGGGCTTCTGTATGATTGCCATATTTGCATAATTTATTTGGAAAGCCACATTTGATCTTTTCAGAGAACAAAGGTGAAACAGCTTTCCATTCATTGTAAAGACAAACACAATTAACCATTTTAAAAAACCATAAAACTGAATGGGGAATCTGAGAGCATGGTATGGGCTGGCACAAAGCCTAACCCAATGCTGGAGAGCTGCAGCTCCATTGTCCAGTGGCATACCTCAGGGTAAATCAAAGCCAGGGGAACCTCAATGGATAGGGCTGAGAGGACACAGCAGCCATCTTTCTTCTTGAAGCTACAGAGATACTGGTGTGCCCCCCCCCGGGAATGAGAGAAAATATTGCAATATCTCAAGAGTCCTTATGTTCAGTATGGAGCATAGAAATAACTTGTTAAGTGATTATTTTTAGTTTGTCTCTCTGGAGAATAAGAGCATAACTACTGTTTTTTCGCATTATCACATTAATGCTAAGAAGTTATGGTTTCAAAGGTGACAAGAAAGCTATTTCCAAAATTATATTATTTTTTAAGGAGATGAGAGTAGGTGGTTGCTTTGCTATTTGTTAGAACAACAACAAACCAGCACTAAGGTTAACAGGTTAATAAAATCATGAAATATTACAGATATGCAAATAAACTAACTGGTTCATTGGTTAAGAGCCCACTAAGTGTCAGTTAGGAACTGTGATTAGTTGGGCATCCACAGCCCTACTAGTCAGAGAGAAGCCTCTGAAGCACACCGTTTGAGCCCAGTGAGATTCTATTTAGGCTGCTTTCGTGTGAGTTCAAGCCCACTAGAATTCCATACAGATTCAACACCCTCCCAAATATCCTTGACTTTTAAACAAGTCTTCATAGCCATAACAGCTAAGGTAGGCAGGTACTAAACTCTGCTCTCTTAGCAGCACAGTCTGGTGGTAAATGGCAATTACGACTAGGTAGAAGGACACAAGGGCTTGTACTTGACTGTAATACTCCTCCCCCCCTCCACCACAACAAATCCTGCTCTACTCCCCCAAAAAATACATCAGTGCATCCACCTATTCACAACAATGGGCATAGTTACAGGAATGAGAAACTCCGTGTAATAACACCACAAATCAAGATTCTGCAGTAGCATACAGAGGGTGGGGGACGAAGACAGAGAGACAAAATATTATGGCAGATTAAAGACTAACAAATTTACTTCAGTGTGAGCTTTCATGGATTAAAATCTGCTCCTTCAGCTACAAGGAGTGCAAACCTTATGTCACTGTATGCATTTATACATGCCCCACACTAGGTTTTAATTCATAATTAAATATATATCCCCTATTATACATGCCCCACACTCCTTTATCTCTGAAGTAGATTTTAATTCATAATTAAATATATATCCCCTTATACATGAACTCCTTGTGTCTGAAGAAGTGGACTTTTGATGTAAAAAAGCTCACACTGAAAGGAGCTTGTTATTCTTGCAAGAGCCATAAGGTTTTGCCTTCTCTCTCTATAAACATGCCGAGACAGACCTACCATGGCTGCTTCTTTGGAAACTGCAGTAGCACAGTTAGCGATCCTGAACTGGTCCTGAGCTCCGAATGTTCCTGGCTGCCTCAAGCACTACTTAAATAAAGTGGTGGGATATATATTCTAGTGTTTAAAAAATGTGCTACGAGTGTGTCGATGGAGGAACGTCTGGAGAACAGCACTACAGAACTAAAACCTGGGACTGGAAATATTCTGAGATTAGTTGCAATTTTCAGTTGCAAAGTACAGTATTAGGTACAGCTGCCTCATTCCACGTGTCAGTTTCTTGTCATGTCCTTCTTCTAAGGCCTGTAGCAGCCAAAAATTACCACATTCTTAAATTCCTTCCTAATCAGAATTTCCCTACCATGTGCTAGGAAGCAATGACCACATTTCCAGTTATGGGAAACTGAAAATACAGTACTGTTAACCGTACAGCATGAAAAAGGCAAAGGCACACATTATCTATAGAACTGTAAGTTTAAGAATGGGAAAAGAATAGACAGAGAATACATATGAGAGAGGTATACAAGAACAGTCCAATACCCTTTAATATGGTTCCTCGCACTTCAAGCTATGGGGCTGCAGTAGGAATGACCGGCAAATCCCAGCTCACACACCACTGCCACCCTACAACTGACCCAAGACCCAGTTGGTCCCTTAGACACTAATCCTTGATCCTCTAATCCTCTTGACTCCCCTTTGGCCCCTGCAGCTTACCGGCTGCACCAGGAGCCTTCTTAATCCTCACTTAGTAAATGCCCCAGCCATACATTTATTACCACTGCAGGCTTGTAAGTATTTTTTGCTGTAGGAGTTTGATTGGGTGTGTACTTCCGTCATTTTGCAGGCCCTGGAATTCCCACTTACTGATTAGCTGATAAACGCAACCCTTATTGAGCCCTCTCTGTAAAATCCTTGATATGGCTATTTCTTGTCTGGGAACAGTGGCTGGGTCTCAAAATTTCGTATCTCACGCACCGTCAGTCACTCTATCAAAGAAGCTGGATCCCATAACGATAGAAACCAATTTTATGTCCTTAAAGGTACTAAATCGTTGTTGTGAAAACCATGCATCCCATTCTAGACCACTACTTGTGCCACTAATAGTAGATGTGCCATTGGTTGGGAATCACTATTTGAGGTGAAGGCACACAGCAATGTTGTACAGGGTTCAGTCATGCAGGGTTAAAATGCAAGCGTGTGTAACCTACTCGTACCCTTCAAGGACATTCTGCACAGAATGGCTACTGAATATTATCAGTATTACTGAGCAAGCCAACACACACACACACGCACGCGCACACACACACACGCACGCGCACACACACACACGCACGCACACGCGCACGCACACGCACACGCGCACGCACACGCACACGCACTTCAAGCACAGAACATGGACATTCCTTTTAAGTTCTCAGCCATTTGGCTTCCATTTCAAATAAGTGATGTTTCTAACCCTTCTGGTATCAGCAAATCAGATAAGATCACTAGAGCGCTAACATTTCCACCAGGCTGACTGACAAAACTGCTGCTTACTTCATAGTCCTTCCCCAGGGATCTCAATGCCAATATTTCTGTCACAATGTACTGACAGTTCCTCTAAATATTCTGAGTGATATTACCCTCTGTTCCAAAGCCAGCATATTGTTTATAGCAGAGGAAAGTGTGTGCAGTTCTTTTATCAATTATAGACATATTATTTTCCTAAGTCACATACTGACACAAGGAAGCATATGACACAGGCATAGGTGCAATTCCATTGGCAAACTTTGTATCTTCATCTGCAGAATTTTGTGAAATGCAGAATCCCACACCCTCAACATCCACATGACTTTTGGAATACAGGCACAAAGTGGAGCACCCACATCTCTGCAATAGAAGAAAAAAAGCCAAGTTTTCCCGACCAAATTGTAAAGTACACATAGGAAGCACTCTGGATGCTTCGTGGCCATCCAGCACCTTGATGCGTACTTATAGGTCTTGTGAGTTTTGCTGATGGCCAGTTTCACCTATCATGAATAGTGTAGACTCTGCTTTGTTAGACCCTTGGCATCCACAGAAGGGGACAGCTTACACTGATAATGAGCAGACTGCCCAGGT